TATATATATATATTGGTACACAGTATCAGTGGTCCAAATGAAAACTAAACCTTCATGTACTTTTTGTTTTTTAAAGTGTAAAACATTATTATTTAAAAGGAGACTGTGAGCAAACAGCAACTTTCTGGGTTTGAAAAATAAATAGCTTCTTCTRTCTGAACTCAATACATACAAAAATTAAAAGCTTGCAAAACTGAAAAACTAAATAATGACAGATTCAAACTGAACGCTTCATCACTCCAGCAATAAGCCCTGTTGCATCATTTAATTCCCTCATTGCCACAAATTCCCCACGACTTATCATCCTTGAAAGCAGTGGTCTCTAAACATTTCCGTTTCTAATTTACCAGACATTGTGTCAGAAAAATGCAACTCTGACTAATTAAACTAAACTTTTATGCATTTATAAGTGCTGTTTTTCAACTTTTGAAATAATTAAAGCAATAWATGATGTTAGAAATACTTTTTTGTAATTAGATCGTTTTTAGCTCCCAAACTTTGTGAACTTTTAAAGCCTTAAAGACAAACATTATACCTTAAGGTGGAAAGAAACAAACTAACTCACCTAAATCTGATGCCTTGAAGGAATATATTTTGTTTTCTGCCAGAGTTTCGAACTAAGATCATTTTATGATGAAAGGGAATCAAGTTTCAGCTGTTTTGGTCCAATTGAAAAGACAATGCACGATGTAATCTTACCTTGTTGTCTGATGGCTCATAATGTCCGTTCAGCTSTTGAAGCACACCTTCTAATCCATGAGCGTCCATGTAGCCATGTGTGTGTTTGAGATGGTCATGGTGTGTGAACTCGTGTAAGAACAGATCGGTCTCCTCGGCCCACATCCCATATTGTATGGCAATGCACGTCTGGAGAGGAGAGGAAAGATACAGGACGCTGCCGGCAGCCAGAGCAGGGAACTGAGAGACGCCGACGGCCCCGTTTCCTCTGATGTCTTCATCTTCGTCCCTCCCGATGAGCTGGTGAAGGGCACCTGCCAGGTCACACTACCCATCCACACAGAAACCATCCAAACAAACAGATCCATCATAAAAAGATACTAGTATATTCATTTACAACTTCATCCTGAATTGACTTCTGCAGATGTGCTGAGTGACACAAATAAAATATTTATATTGTTCATATCAGCTCGGCACAACCGCCATTCACTATCACTTTCTTGCTCTGTTGGTGGCCCATAATCTAATCTATAATCTCATGAATAAAAACATATTTTTTGTCTTTAAATTGGCACAACATTTCTGATAAGGACTGTAAAAAAATAGGCTGCAATATGAACGGAGAAAATCACCACAAAATGCTGACAAGCATCTATTCTGACTGAAAACACAGGACCATGTTTATATTAAAGTTTCTTCTACCAAATAACACAGAACTGTTGAATTCATACAATTATATTCTTATAAATAACTTTAAATGTTTCTGTAGTTAGCCTCCAATACAAATTTAATTTGATTTATTTAAATTTATTTTGAAGACGTGTCTCTGTCAATCTTTATTTTCATTTTTTTAACATATAAGGCAATAAACCCTAAAGATTTAAGGTCTTATGAAAACTAAACACTGTTATATGAAGTTTTTAAACCTGAGAACATAAAGTTTGGATTTTATGGAGCTCAGCTGTGTTGTGAAGAAGATGAAGTGATGAAGGACATCTGAAGCAGTTTTTTTTTAATTTGGCATGATTTAAACTCACCTTAAAAGAAGCTGTAGCTGCAAAAATCCCCCAGATCAATTCTTAATATTATGTACTTTTTGAGCTTATAATTTTCACTGCTACAACACAAAAATAAATTGAGCATTCACTTCCACAAATCTTTGTTTGAACTACAAGACGTTGATTTTTTAAAACCAGAAATAAGTACAATTTACAGAATCAAACATGCTTCTTTGTCTACTTCTGTCCCCTATCAGCCACCTGTAGATAGTTTTCAGTGCATTCATCATTTTACAGTTGTCATCGAAGAAACTCCAGGACTTCGCTCTCACTTCCTGATAAAGGGGTTATGTCTGAGCTGCTGTTACAACACAGCTAATAAAGCCAGCACTGATATTAAAATGAACATATATTATGAAAGTTAGGAAAATATCATTTAATCTCTTAAAAACATGTTTTTGATTGACAACATCTATGAGTTTATATAAATGACTTTATTATAAAGGTTTTTTTTTTAAATGCACTGTCCATCAAGCACAATTTATGCTCTGGATAAAAAGCTGAAAAATTGCTTGAACAAATGACAGAATTCAAATATTTTTTCCTGAGCTTTAAGACAAYATTACTGCAGGGGTACAGCAGGGAAATCCAGAGAAGAAATTCAACGAAGCAAATCTCTTTCAYACTTCTAATGTGAGGCAGCTCCACCCTATAATTTAACAGCTTAAAGAACCTCCTTTAGCTGGAATAATTTGAACTAATCACCTTCTGTATTCCAGTCTTTTACAGAAATTTGATTTTACTCTTTTCAGCTTTCGTGGAATCAGATTTAGAGCCTCAGACACAAGGCGTCACTTTTTACACTACCATAATTGATAAACTTTATTCAACTTTACATCATGAGACTTTTGGTGACCTATGGCTGTTTTTTATTTGTTCTACAGAAAGAAATAAACTTGAAGATGTTTCCACACTGAGATTGTCGACTCAAAACAAGACCAAACCCTTACCCCTCCACCACTGTGTGTTTAAAATTATGTTCTGATTTTAACATTAAAATGCTTTCACCAGTACAGAATAAACAGACTTTTTTATCATATGAAGGAGTAATTTTTCCACAATAACTACCCATCATGTTAATAATACCACACTGTTACTGACTGACATCTGAATGTACGAATCTTGTGTTTAAATCAAACCAAATGCTGGCTTGTAAAGAATTCAGCCAGTCAGCAAGAAGCTGAGAAGCAGGTCATSCACAGGGACTAAAAAACAAAATCCTATCTGTTTAGCTGCGTACACTTTGCTCTGCACCATCAGACGTTTTATCCTGGTCCAATCTGTACATAATGTTGTTCCAGAAGTTAAAGATTAAAGTCACATTTCTGATRATTTTCTCAGAATTCCAACTTTAAACTCAGAATAACAGAATTCTCTAATATTAAGGGCAAAATTATGATTTTTTCCCCCTCCAAATTATGACTTTATTTAAATTATTCTGAGAGGAAAAAGTCAAAAATCTGAGAATTAGAGTTGGAGTTGTTAGAGTAAAGTTAGAATCTAATGTTAGATTAAAGTCAAATTCACTTTTTTCCCCTCAGAATTCCGGCAGCTTTAAACCCAGAATCTCAGAATTCTATAAGATCAAAGCCAAAATAAGTTTTCATCAAAATTCTGACTTTATGAGTAATTCTGAGGAAAAAGTCTGAGATTAAAGTGGGAGTTCTTAGAATAAAGTCAAAATTGTTTCTGCACTCTTAAAATAAAGCCTAAATTAATCAATTTTTTTCAATCTTTTCTGACAACTTTAATCTTTGATTTTTATATATATTTTTTTCTTAATATTCTGAGAAAAAGTCAGAATTCTGAAAAAAAGAAAAGAAAAATATTTTCCAGAGGTCCTAATCTTCTATAGAAAAGCTGCATGAAAGTCATATTTGAAAGACATATTTTCACGACTGAAAACATGTTTATTTAAAAAAAACATGTTTTGCTCATATTTACTGACCTTTTTGTAAAACTTAGAAGTATTTTCATGATTTTTCATCAAGTCAGAAACAATAAATTCCACAAGATTTTTCTGAAAGGATAGTAGGCCTATTTTTTTTTATAAATTTGCTGATACTTCCTTATTCTAACAAAAACAGTTCAGTTTTCTAATTAGTTTCACATTTAGATAAAAAAATCCCACTTTTCATTTAGCCTACAGATTAAATCGTTATTAGCAAATTATTAATAAAGCCTGGTATAGGACTAAGTCATTAGCATTTAATTTTAAGGCTGTTTTAATCATTAAATCATTAAATACATGCTAATGATTTAATCAAACTTTAAATAGATGTAAATAGCCTACACTAATTAAAAGTTAAACATAATTTAAATTAAATTTTACTCGCATTTAGGGAATTTGAACAGCATTGTCACAGCTACATGTCAGGTAAACTTTTATTCTGATTCAAACAGATTTAGGTGATTAGGTTGGACCTCGACCTGCCTCCACCTCACCTGGCGCTCGGCACCTGGCTGTCTTACCTGTCTGCCACCTGGCTGCACAGGTAACCTAATAAAACTCACCTTTTCACACGGCACGTCGCCGCACTGCACACGCTTCTGCAGTGTATTAAAGAGGGAGCGAAGGGACTCCTGGGTCAGATGCGGCTGTCCCGGAGACACGACGCTCACCACGGCTTCGTAAGCCTCCTCCACGGCGGCGGAAGAAGCCGAACCRGAACCGAGCAAACCCGAAATGGAGGACAGAACAAGGAGGAGCAGCATGGAGGAGAACATCTTTAAAAAGTTCCCTGTGGAACTCTGACATGAACTCTTTATGTAGGAGAACCTGGCAGGGTTATTTCCACAGATACATTGGGGGCGTTTAAAGCTCAGCTCGGAGATATGACCCGTCAGAAAAACGTCYATATCTGGACTCTGGATTGTGATTGGCTGAGAGGTGGCTGGCGCTTTACTGTACCTGCTAATTAAAACACCTGCAGCCTACAGGACAAAATGTTCAGATCTTCCAACAATTTAATTAAAAACTGGAGAAATCACCTTAAAAAGTGAACACAGAGCTAAAAGAGTATGCTGAAATTTGCAGAAGCTAAAAGTGAGCTGGTAAAATTATGAAAGCAGAACTCCAGCTAAAAGCTAAAAAGGAACTACAAGCCAAAAGCCAAATGTAGCTAAACACTAGCTAAAAGCTAAGAGAAACCAAAATTAAGCTAAAAGTAGCTAAACTACATGTAAAAGTAAACAAGCTAAGTCTAAAGTAGCAAAAAGTAGTAATAG